AGAGAGAGAGAGAGAGAGAAACACAGAGAGAGGGAGAGAGGGAGAGAGAGGGAGAGATACCTGTACTGAGGTCGATTGTCACCTTACTTCAGGGACAGCAGTTGTTGAAGGGCGGCTCCAAGGTCCTTGTGCTGAGCGATGAGGAGGAGGCCGGGCCATGTCATGACACATGGTACATGTACATGATACATGTTCATGGCATGTACTTATTCATGGCATGTACTGATAACTTTTGCATGGCATGCATGTACGGTGTTTACCAGTTCATGTTCCGTGCAACACATGCCATGTCATGACATGTTACATCTATTTACAAAACATGTCATGCCATGACATTTACATCTATTTACGAAGCATGCCATGTCATGACATATGACACGTCAGGCCATGGCAAAGGCACCAGCCATGTAAAGTTGCCAGCGCGTGTGAGGCCAAGGGAGATGACGATTCTTGGCCACTGACTTCGAGAATCAGCCCACTCTTGACTACGAACAGGAAGCGGAAGCTCAAGCTCAATACCACCGAAGCCCATGAGCGCAGGCAAAGCCAGGAAGCTCTGAGGGTGGCCCAGGAAGCGAAGGTCAATGAAGCTTTGGAGCAACACGAGCTGGCCAAAGCTGCTCGTCGTTCAGCCTCGCCTCCACCTGAACGGCATGCGGGAGCAGGCGCTGACTTGCCAGAAGGTATGGCTTCCGGAACGCATGTCATGGAGATTTCTTCAACTACTCACCGAAAAGAGTGGGCTACGCTGAGCCGCGTTGCCAAGGGTCCGCGAGCCAGCGAATTCCCGGAAGTTGCGCGCCTTTTCCAGGGCACAAAAGCGCAGAAGCTTGAAGTACTTAAGGCTTTTGTGGAGCGAGGTAGCCTGGAAGCGATCGAGGCTAGCTTTCAGGCTACGAGGCAACATGATGACAGCTTACAGGTCAAGCGAAAGTTGATGACGCTTGATGAAATGAATGCCGCTGGCTTCAGTGAGCACTTAGCCTGCATGGCAAAGTTGGTTTGTGTGTGGGCGTGTCATTTTTCCATATTGAATAATATACGCTGCATTTTCTCTAAGGGAGAAGAAGCTGGGATGCATCCGCAGAGGAGCAGTTCCAGACCCTGATGCGCCGAATTGTCAGAAGAGCCAGAGGTTTTGGGTGAATGTGGGAACTGAGCAAACAACGACAGAAAGGCAAACGCTCACCACGAGCATGCAAGCGGGGATCAGAGGGTCAGATGCTATGTCTGCAATGGGCATGATGCTCCCGACTCCGACGCTGTCAGTGGCTGACCCAGTGGCCTTGGCGCGCCAGCAGCAGGCGGCAGTGGCTCAGTCCCCAGCCGCTCCGGCATCTCCAGCACCTCCAGTACCCCGTGCCTTGTCTAAAGGGAATTGATGTTCAGGAAGTTGATTCACGGTTTTTCACGCCGATTCATGGTTTTTCATGGCTTTTCATGGCTCACCTGACAGATCCAGGTGCAAAAGTCAAGGCTGGAGCAAAGCCAAAAGCTAAAGCAGCGCCACTTTCTGGTCCAGTTCTGGCTGG